ATAGCTTAGAAATATACATTTCTTACTTTTAGGATTAATTTTTGTACATTTTTCATTTGGAATATGCAGACAAGCATTACGTCCAAAGATATAAAGGTATTGTATTGAAGGTTTTATACTTGATCAAACTTCTTCTAGTATTTTTTCTTCCACAACTATAATAGGATTTTGATTAAGAATATATGTTATAGTACTAATGGCTTCTGCCAATCATACATTCCAAAGTTATTTATGCTATAACATGCACCTTGCACTCTCAAATAATTTCCAATTCTTAAATTTTGCAACTTTATTTTTTTGAAGCATATAAGGTATAAAAAATTACCTTCAATGCCATGTTGCTCACAAAACTATTTAAAGGCCTTAGATATATACTATCCACTATTGTCACTACATAATTTTTGAATTTGTAAGCTTGTTTGTTTGTCAACTAGAGCCTTAAAAATCCTAAAGTCATCCAAGACTTTAGACTTTTGTTTCATGAAATATACAAAAAAAATTCTTAAAAAATCATCAATAAAAATAACAAATTATTTTGTTTTTCTATGAAATATTGTCTTCATAGGACCATTTATATTGAAATGTATCAATTCTAAGAATTTTGTTGCATGAGTACTACCTTTTGTTAGAAATGCATCACGATATTATTTTCCATAAAAACATTCCTTGCAAAATTCTAACTTTGTGTCCTTGCCTATGTGCAAATCAATGACTATATCATCTACTTATAGTTTTTTAAGCCCAAAATGCCAAAATGACCATATTATTCATGCCAGAGATTAGCCTTATTTGAAGTTTGTTTTGTTTCAATAACAAAAGAGTCTTTTTATCTTCATCTAAAGATCCAAATAGCTTGTATAAGCTACCATGTCTAATATCTTTGATGGTTGTATTTTCTTGTTTCATGAGATATGTATCAACATTAAAATTGACTTTACAACCTTGATCTATCATTTTGCTAACAGAAAGCAAATTCTTGGCCAATCCTTCAACATGCAAGATATCATATACATCCTTGCAAATGTTGTTTGGAAATTAGAAAAAAATCTTATCCTTCTCTTTGATGGCAAGTCTAGTATCAATTCATAAATAAATTTTAGGATCTTTTGGTAGATTTTTGTAACTTGAAAATCAACTTAAATTTCTTGTCATGTGTTGAAAAACATCATAATTGATGTACCATTCTTTATCACTCATAGTGACAGATAACACATCTACAAAGAGACATTCATCATTCTTTTGATCTTTCATGTCTATTATATTAGCTTACTCTTTTTAAAAAGTCTTTTTTTAACTTTCTTGACTTCATGTCCTTCTTCTTGGTCCAACACTCTCTCTCATAGTGAACTTTCTTACTACAATATCTACATTTGACAACCTTCTTGTGATCATGTGAAGACCATATATGAGTATGAGTATGAGAATGTGACTTGGATTTTCTTTCCACAGCTAATGTCACCTCAGAGATTGATTCCACATTCTTGTCATGAGACTCTTACTGTAATAGTTGAATTGTGACTATTTGTAATGTTAATTCCATTGGAGGTCTTGTTCCTTGTATCACCACCAATTTACGGTATGATTTTGAGAGACTCCCCAACAATGCCATTACAAAGTATGTATTAAAAATCTTTTCACCAATAGAAGAAAGTTGCTCAACCATCTTCCATAGCTTGCTTATATGCATGACAATGTTGTTACCTTCACTCATTTACATGGTCTAAAACTTACAAATCAAATATAATAGGCTCAAAGTATTTTTTACCTCGTATATTGCTTCTAAATCTTGTCAACTTATGCACTTTCTCCCTTACTTGTGGTCAGAAACTTTATACCTATAAGATATAGGCAAATTGCAAATAATGCCCTCTAATCTATATCCTTCCATTTTTCTAACTCTTTTGGATCTATAGGTGATCTAGTAGGTTTCTTATATTTTTCATAAACAACCTTTCATAAATCCTTGTCAATGAGGACAAATTAGATTTTTTCCTTCTATAAGTGTGAATTGTCTATATCAAATTTATTTATAATATAGTATTTTATTTCAATCTTATAAAAAATATGATCTAAATAGAAGAAATTGAAAAAATGAAAGAAGAAAAAGAATATGAATAGAAATGACATCTAAATAAGATTTCACACCTACTTATAGACTTTTTAAGTATTAATAAAAAAATCTTAAAGAATTTCCAAAAATACCTAAAATGTGTTTAAAATGTGTAAAATTGTATCACTAGTATTTTTTAAAAATAAAAACTTAAAATTCCAAAAATTATGATTCTACAGCTTTCTATGTGAAACTATATCCAAAAACTTTTAAAAAATCAAATTTGCAGCTCTCTAATCTTGCTAGAATTCTTTGGACTATACTAGCCCCTCTTCCACTATTGAGTCCCGCTACTATTGCCAAATCTTGTTGTTGGTGCTGTCAGGTCCCTCTTTTGTTGTCGGGTCTTATTGTTGATGGTAGATCCTATTGTTGTTGATGGTAGATCCTACTGTTGGTCTGATTAGATCAGCAGCTACAAGCTGCAACACCCATTGCTTGTAGCATTGAAATTTGAAAATGTTCTTTTTCGTTTAAAATTAATCCCTTATTGCTTCAATTATGAGCTATCAAAAACATTAGTAGCTTTAATTTTAAGCTCACTAGAGATTCAACTCCTCTCAAGCTAATGCAAAAAATAAGACCTCTTCAAAGATGATCGAAAGATCAAGTCTTATAAAACAACCTCAATTAATTCACTCAAACATGTCAAAGGATAAATCTAGAGCACCAAGGCTTCGATACCATGTGAGAAAATAAAAGAGAAGTGTATTGCTAAGATAGAAGTTTTATGAAGCAAATACAAAAGAGTTCTCTACCTTATTATCAAGGATTTAAGGGAACAAATGCTTAAAATGAACCTCTACTTCTACTCCTTATATTGTACAAATCCATGGTCTACTCACATGGACTTTCTAGTATAAACATACAAATAACTAGCCTACTCAACAATGTCCAATTGACATGTGGACACTCATTTTATTAAGCCCTATGACGGCTTGGTAGGCTACGGTGGCTAAATGATATAAAGACCAACAAATGGTGGCTACAACTTGTCAATCAGCAAAGCGGTGTCAATCGCCTAGTCTACTTTATGTCTAATAGGAATTATACACTTTATTAAAAATTATTTAATATGTATATATCAATGCATCATTAAAATTAATAATGATTAAAGTCCATTTGAGAAAACAACTATGTTACAAATGATTAAAATTATAATACTGCAAAAATTATGCTGAAGAAATTTGAAGCACCTGTTGTAACAAAATAATTAAGAATCATTAACTTCTTGAAACATAAGAGCTCTTCTCTGTGATAATATAAGTGAAAACTAAAACTATTTTGTATCAAAAAATCTGTTGTAATCTGTATGTAAAAATCAGATGAGTTTAAGCTTTTGTTCCATTTAAGAATGTAAAGGGCAAAGTTTACTTGGTTTTATGTCAAGGGCCTTTTTTTTCATTTATTTATTTATTTAGATGTAATATTTTGGATTTTTCTCAGGAAAATACTAATATAAAATGTCATACATATAACCATGTAATTTGACCTTATATATCATATATTTTATCATGTATTTGTCTGCATATGTTTGTTTAATATTTTGCATAAAGCTTTTAAATCTTATCTTTCACATGTTAAATTTTATGCTCAACTTTTAGTTCATTTGAAAGAATACCAAGCTAAGCTTAAAAATTAATATTTTAGAAATAAAATGTTAACTTGAAATGTCTCATTTTTATGAAGGATTGTATGCCACTACAAACTTTAATATAACCATAACTGCCCTGTTACAAGAATAACTCTATCAAACCTGATGCTGATGATTATTAAAATATATATATATATATATATATATATATATATATCTTTTGCAATGCACATAAAACAATATTATTTTAAAAACGATCAAATGAATAACTGGGTGTGTTATGAATGTGAGAAAAATTAGAGAAAAAATATATGCTGTAATGAATATAATCAATTTATTCTTCTAAACATCCTAAACAAATGCATTGATTAAACAACAAATTTGGCACTTATACAAGATGTGAAGAGAAATGCCATGATTTCATTGAATATCTACTACATTTATTTATAATTGCATGTAAAAAACTATTTAAAAAAAATACCTTTTGATGATCAAAAACATATCTACATAATAAAAATGCAGTAGTTGTAAAACTTATGAATACAATATTACTTTTGAGAATGCATATACTAAATCAAAGATAATTTGATGTGTGTTTTTACTTAATTTTTTTAATCTTAGCTCTAAAAAATATATTTAAATAATAATTAAAAATTACTAAATTCTTAAAGAAATATAATTTCATAAATGTGAGTACAAAGGATACCATTACAAAATAATGTACCTTGTCATTGCCAAAACAATATATATATATATATATATATATATATACACACACACATACATCAAAGATAATTATTTTCATGTGATTTAGTATTTTTTTTCGTACCAAATAAAATTACTATTGTTGTATGTATTCACAAAGTGCAAACAAATTTAAATTGGCAACATCAAATCAAAAGCATTCAGCACAAATGCTTCGTTTAGAATACGAGAGACGATGAATGAGAAATTTGTTTCATCCGACAGAAACGGATGAAAACTCAGATGTCGCATCCTCGAGCCTGGCCCCACTTGAAAAAGCACAGGCTGTGGATGCGGAGGAAGGTTCCTAGAAGGCCAGCCTATGGCCCGCCTATCCTCGTTCTAGCCCAGCAGTTAACGGGTAACCAATGGGCCCGGCTCTGTGAACGCAATCCCGGGTTAATCACCACCCAGCCCAGCCCGGCTCAGCCCAAGACGAAATCCATTGACGGAGCTGACTCTAGAAATAGACGAAATATTATCGTCGTCCACGATTCTCGTCCACGATTCTCGTCCACGATGTCTCGCTTTGGGTGCGCCTCACCCTCACGTCCACGGTAGCAATCCCCATCCCCCGCAGTTGCGAGAGCCTGTGCAGGAAATGCAGTTGCGGACGAGATTTGTGTGCGGAGATTCGAGAAGTGAGCGCAATGGCGTCTGCGTTGCATCTGCCCTTAGGTGCTGCGGCGTCGGTGTTTAGTTGGCGAGACTCGTCGACGTTTTTGGGTGGTGTTGGGGGCTTGGCAATGCCCGTGGCTGCTGCACCTGGGTTGTTGTGCCGGCGCAATGGGAACCTCGTGGTGGAATCGAAGATCCGAGAGATTTTCATGCCGGCGCTGAGCTCGACTATGACGGAGGGCAAGATTGTGTCGTGGGTTAAAAACGAGGGCGACAAGCTGAGCAAAGGTTGGGTCTGGGCGTGGTGGTAGGTGGTTTTTATTTGATTCGGTCTTTTGCAATGCTGGTTGGGATGCAATGCCGGTGGATTCGCTCGTCGATGGTGTTGGGTGGATCAATCGCCTACTTGGGAATTGGGTGAAGTTGAATGTGGGTATATGGGGTTGCATTGTTGATCGGAGTTGGCTGGCAGTAGTTTTCAGGTGAAAGCGTGGTGGTCGTGGAATCGGACAAGGCTGATATGGACGTGGAGACATTCTACGATGGATTCTTGGCGAAAATTGTGATTACGGAAGGCGAAACCGCACCCGTGGGAGCCGCAATTGGGCTGCTTGCGGAGACCGAGGAGGAGATTGCTGAAGCGAAGGCGAAGGCACAGGCAACAACACCTGTAGCCGCTCAACCCTCACCTGTAGAAGAAAAGGTTCTTTCCCCTCCCACTCCTGTTGCTACCCCTGCCCCTGTCGTGGCTGTCCAGGTCCCCACGGAGCCCGTTGCTCCTACAGCACCCAGATCGGGCAGAATTATTGCCACGCCCTATGCGAAGAAGCTTGCAAAGCAGTACAGCGTAGATCTTGCCAGTGTAGCAGGCTCTGGACCTGGTGGTCGTGTCACACCTGCGGATGTGGAGGCTGCGGCTGGCAAGACTCCTGCCCCTATCGCCTCACCTGTGGTGCAAGCTTCGGCTGCGGGTGCGGCTGCGGCAGCTCCTGCTCCCACGGCTGCTTCTGCTCAAGAATCTTCTCCAGCTCCTTTTGGTTCTGTTGCATTTACATCAATGCAGGTTGGCGTTGCCCGCAACATGGTGGAGAGTTTGTCCGTTCCTGTATTCCGTGTTGGGTACACTGTTACCACTGACGCGCTTGATGCCCTGTACAAGAAGGTAACTGATTTCTGCTCTCTTTCCAGTTGGTTTGATGTTCTGATTTCTACCCACGTTGACCTTATTCTTTAGGGATGATAATCATGTTGTAAACAGCAAGCAGTCGTTCTTTTCTACGGGTGTCTGGTTAGGGTTCGCAGTAGTGCACTGCAAGCATGTGGCTTTGGAGCAGCAGCATTTGCTTCCTCTCTAATTAGATATATGACTTGTTGGATATCAGATCAAGTCGAAGGGTGTGACGATGACAGCTCTATTAGCCAAGGCGTGTGCTCTTGCTTTGGAGAAGCACCCCGTTGTGAATGCCAGCTGCAAGGATGGGAAAAGCTTCACCTACAACGAAGACATCAACATTGCTGTCGCCGTTGCCATGGACGGTGGTCTGCTCACGCCAGTTCTGAAAAATCCCAACAAGGTTCTTTCTGAATGTCCCCCACTTACTTGATGAAGTTCTAAGGCTGTTGAAACCCGCTTTAGAAAGCACCTTCTAGTATGATACCATGTCCATAATGCCTGGATCCAGCATTGTCTGAGCGATGTTTTATGGATATGTCTGTGGAAGTAGCATGTAATGTTGTATTCATGCTTTTTACTGCATTGAATTCGCAGGTCGAGATCTATTCATTGTCTCGCTCCTGGAAGGACCTTGTCGACAAGGCTCGCGCAAAGCAACTTTCGCCAGCTGAATATAGCTCTGGTCTGAATTCTGCACTACATGGTTTAACGTGGATTCTTTTACGAAAAGTTTGGCAAAATGTTACATCATAAGAAGTAACCACATAGGTCGTGATTTAATTCACTTCGTTATTAACGTCTGCGATGCTTCCATTATTTTTGTTTGTCCTTATAGTGCAGACTTTGTCCCTTTCATTCTACTCGAGCAGCTTCTTATTTAAGTTTCCTGTCTTTGTGTCTTGATGAGCGCTTCCACGGCTTTCTCGTGGGTGTCTAAGCCAGTGCTCCTGCCTGTCGTACTGTTTTCTGATGATTATGTACTTCGTTGCAGGCACGTTTGTTTTGTCGAACCTTGGAATGTTCAATGTCGACCGATTTGATGCCATTCTGCCCCCTGGAGTAGTAAGTACACTTTTGACATCAAATTGCTTCATATTTGGCTTTTTATTTTATTTCTATATACATAAAATCCTAAGTTTATAGGCTTCTTGAGTATTTTCGAATTGAGCCGACAACACTTGGGTCACTCCCAAACAGGGTGCGATTATGGCAGTCGGAGCATCTACTCCCACGGTTGTTGCCACTGGAGATGGCCTGTTCAGTGTGAAGAATAGGATGACGGTAATTCTTCCCCTCCATGAAAACTCTTGTCTAATATCTTCGTCTCCACACAATTAAGGGCTTCTTTTGCTGATGCACCACTATTTCCTATTGTTGATATTCCCGGTTTAGTTAAAGAACATAAACCTTGTTGTAGCATCCTGACTCATTCGAGCTGCTGGAACAGGTGAATGTTACCGCAGACCACAGAATCATCTATGGCGGTGACCTAGCTGTGTTTTTGCAAACCTTTGCAGCTATCATTGAAGACCCCAAGGATCTGACATTGTGATTCTGGTAAAGAAACTTTGGCTCCCTGATATACCAGGAGCTGCTGACCCGCACAATAATTGTGTAATTTACTAGTGAGTGTGCTTCACGTTAAAATCCAGGCTGAAACTCAAAACTTCATAGAACAGGTTAGGTTGGTAGATCATTAAATTTCTACGGCAGAGCAGCATCTGAAAATTGTTATTGAAATTGGTCAGTTCAGAACAGGCCAGACTACGGAACGAGTAATAATGTAGTCCACGAGGTATGATTTGCATGCAGACCAACGAGGATTGATTGATTGATTTTTTATTTATTTATTTATTTATTTTTCCATATTTTCAGTCTGTTTCCTGTGTTCTGTCAGCAATATCCCCCTTTCCTATTGTTGTAAGTGCACTGCAGACGTCTTTAGTTTCAAGAGGGAAGTCAAAGCTGTAAGAATATAATTCAACTTTTAACTCCATGAACATATTGTTGTGAGATATCTGACTAGTTTGGGGTTTAGAGTTTTGGAACTTTTGCTCAGTATGGTTGATGCAGACAACTTTGTAGAGTAACAGTTAATTTGTAGGATCATTGCTAAGCTCAGGTTCCGTGCATTTATAAGAGGGTAAAAATAATTATTTTAGCCCTTTTAGCCTGGTTTCAAATAACAAGAGTTGGCTTAACATGTTGAGAATTGGAAGTATGAGATGATTGGAAAGATTAGTATTGTAGTTGTAAGGATTTGCAGTATATTACAAAACCAACATCACAGAATAGAGGTAGAAATATAATTGCGTGAAATATGCATTTCGTAAATTGTCAGTCATGTGTCCAAAATTTTGCAATTTGCTACTAAAAGAAAAATTGTTGACAAAGTGTACATTTTGAGTTTTAACATATATTTCTTTGCATCGCGACTATTGATAGTGCTTTAGTTCGCCTAAAGATGATTTTGAAGGTTCTAAACACGTAAAAAATATATATTTCACGTTTGAATGTAAAGTTAAATGTCACATTTCAAGCATTGAATAAAATGTAGGCCTTGTGGTAAGTTTGCAGAATGTTACAAAAATACTAGGACTCTAAAACACTAAAATACTAAAATAAAGCATAGGAAATATTTGTTTAAATTGGAATACAAAAGAAATAATTATTGAAGCTGTTAAGTGGACATTTATGGTAAAACCTATATATTTATTAGATTTAAAAAAAAAAAAAAAAAAAAAAAAAACACACAACAATAACACTTGAATGTATCTCTGTCAAGAAATGATGAAATTACACATATGTAAATAAATTTATAAATTTTCAAAGAAATATATATTACGGTAGAATATATATATTTATAAATTTATAATATATATATATATATATATATATATATATATATATATACTACTATATATATATACTACCATAACTATAAAAAAATAGTCATGTATAGAATGAAGCAGCTCCTTTCTACAAACTTATAAAAAACTAGACTTCAAGCAAGTTTATTTTATTTTTTATTACAAACTCAAGTTGTCATGGTGTAATTATTGCTAAATACCTTGCTGTGACAATTTTTCAGGTTTTTATATAGTGTTGATAGAATTTTAAAGTAATAGTAATTTTTGTAGTGGTTATACTTGTTTGAAGTCTCCATTTTTTGGTTTGTGGATACAAAATATAAAAAAGAGCACCATACTTATAATTTTTTATTAAAACTTGGATGTAATAAAGTAACATGTATGATTTGGTATCTACATTTCTTTTAAAATACACTAATTATTACTATAATAACAACAACAATAACTTGCACATAAATATTCATGCTTGTTAGGCTTTGTGTATGTTTTAAACAATGCTTGAAAAGTTTTAAACAATGGTATTTGAAAAATACTACGGACACAACACAAACAATTATTGGGTTTATAATAAGATTGTTTTATTTTTATTAATTTTCTTAACATGACATGAAGAACAAAGGATTTATTGAAAAGAAAAATTGATATACACTAATGGTCTTATGTCCATACTTCTAATTCTTTGGTGATGGCTGTTGGGTTTCTTTGCATTGATGTGATTGCTGTTTGAATTTTATTTTAAAGAAAATGACAGGTCAATGATTTAGTTAAAGGCCTTTGAAGCATTTTACAAATTCTATAATAGGATTTTTAAAAGAAAAATCTACACTTTATTTTTAATGAACTGTAAAACATTGAATGTTTGATTGTTTTGTTATATATTTTTTTCTGCTTCATTATACATGTACAGATAATATACTCACAAATTGTAGACAACTTTAGAAGATTTACATCAAAAATAATTTTCAAAGTTTAATAGTTTTTTAATAGCCTCTTTTAATCTTCGAAATTATATGTATTATTTTCAAATTTTAAAATATTTTCGACACATTGTGTACCAAAAACACAACTATGCACTGTAAAAATAAAATAAAATAAAATAAAAACACAAAAACACAAAAACAAAAACAAAGAGACCATGCTGAAAGAATGGGATGGCTCTTGAAATGATGTGGTCCAACAAAGTTTCTTCGTCAATTGTAAGTCTCTATCCTTTCCCTTGCCTTCCTCATCCATTTTTTCTTCTTTCTTTCCCTTCCCCTAATAAAAATCATGTTTTTACGGTTATACATGTGAAGGGTGGCATACATCTTGGTGCCTAATGCACAAGTGTCATGAAGAAAGCCGCAACACATGGAAGTCATGGAGCTTCACAATAAGTCACAAACCTCAACTTGGGGTCCCCACCCCTTTGACAACTCCTCACTATTAACTTGGGGGTTGAAATGGTCTTCAAACCCTTTTCACACCGAGGAGGGGGGAATCATCATCCCAAGGGCGCCAGCGCATCCACCACACAACTTTCATCCATCTATGCGCGTGGCAGCTTGGCCAGTGCGAAGGACCGAGAGATTTCCTTACCCCGGTTTGCGGCGGACCGACGTGGCATTGATCAGGCGGGAAAGGGCGGGATGAGGGGGTGAGTCACCGTCTGCTCATCCTAGTCAGCCCCACCTGTCCTCCCTTTTCATCCGAATTCCAGCCTTGCTGGGTCTCTGGCCCAGTGAGCTTGCTGCATGGCAACCCCTCCAACTGTCACTTTGTGCTTCTCCCCCCTGATTCGTTCAACTTCTGGGGGGCGAATATTCCACGGCAACTCCGACGTGGCTACATCTGGCTGGTCTATGCGATACTTGGAACTTGTGAGCTTTTTATTTATTTATATTTTTTCTAAGGCTTTAACAAATTAGATTCCCTAGTTTTGTGGTATAATTAGGGGTGTCAGATGAGATGAAATTGAAAGAGGAAAAAGTGTGGAAAGAATATATATATATATATATATATATATATATGTGGCGTTAAACGTTGTGGGGAACCAAAACATCCTTGATTCCTTCAACATGCATGATTTGGAGTTGGGTGAGAGGATGTGTCTATGTGGACAAAGACAAAACCGGAGAATTAATTTTGAATATAGCAGCCTAAGAGTTTACATCTTCCAAAAAAATAAATATAGTGTGGTGGCCAGCTAGCTATCCTTGTTTTTCTCAACCATCCAAAAGTATTCCCCTTGCTGTAGTGACCTCATTTGTTACTTCCATAGTGAAAGGGTTTCTCCAGAGGAGTAGCCTCATAATATTGTTAATTACTGCAATCAAATGGGATTTTTTACAACACAGATTGATCGATTGATTGGGTATTACTAGCGTTAATATTTTTGCTTTGGCAGGAAATGGTTGAGAAATCTCCTCTTCGTTGGTGTAACTTTTGGCTGAATCATGGTTTCGAGGCACCTTCCAAACTAAAAACTGTTATACACGTGCACTACAAAACGTGAAAGTAGTTCCAAATGAAGACGAGGGGCATGGGCGAACTGCAACGAAGATCCACTTGCCAAACGGAGTAGTGGGCTCGAAGGCAATTCCTCGTCGTCGTCATTTTCGTCCCAGTTTCCGTCGTCGTCGTGACGGTCGGTGGTACTGGTTCTCTGGGTACGAAAATCTCAGCAAGCCATAAGAAAATAAAAGCGAGAGAGAGAGAGAGAGAGAGCGAGCGATATTCCCACGGCTCTCGAAAAGGAGCAAACTCGAACGGCGATGAGGAGGAGGAGGAGGAGCGTGTTCTCACCTGGCAACTCCGGCATTTAGGGTAAGACTGTCGAATTGCATCGGGTAGGTGTTGTTGCATCCATCGGACGATGGACGAAGCCGGTCAGGAGAGAGAGTTTTGATGCTCTTGCCAGTTGGGCGAACTTACGTTATCAGCACGTTCCGGGGTTTTGCGTTGAATCAGTGCGTGGTGAGCTCTGGGGTAGGAAGCTCCGAGTGAATGAATGAATGAATGAATGCTAGCCATGGTGCTGTAGTAGAAGATATTATCACATCTATTGCATTCTGATGTATATTTGCATTACTCTTTTTCTTTTGATTATTTTGGCTTTTCCGCCGCTGCACTCGGACAGAGTGGAGTGCTGCGTTCACTTTTCCCTATGTTACTTCGTCTTCTCCCTGGCGGAGCCAAAGTCCGTTTCACAATCCTTTCAATTTCTTGAGCCCTTTCCACTCCAGAGGACGAGTTGGTGTTGGTTTGGTGATGGTTCGGTTAGGCATGTAGACGGTTCTGTGAAATTGTGAGGATCTTGTTGTGAAGGAAGATTGTTAGCTGTTGTTGTTGTTGTACGGAATGGGAGGAAGTTATATTCTGTGTCTTGGAAGTGTGAATTGTTGCTAGTCTGTGGATCCGTAGTTCGGGAAGAGCGAGCGAGAGAAAGACGTCGTAATAGATTCATTCGGGAACGAGTTTGTTCGGATGGCGCGGAAGCCGAAAAAGAAGCCGGCCGGGACGAATGTTGAACTGGATTTGAAGGACGGGGAGAATCGAGATGTAGGAGAGACGACGGTGGAAAGTCCTGAAGAGGAGAAGAGGGAACTAGGTCGGGCGGAGTCGGGTGAGCGGAAAGGCATCCAGGGGGAGGACGGTGACGACGAGGAGGAGTACTATGAGGATTACGATGAAGCTTATGAGGAGGCCCTCGCAGAAGCAGATGCGGATGCGGATGCGGATGCATCGTCTTCCGAGGGTTCGCCCCCTTCCTCTCCTGGCCCTCCCCCTGTACGATATGAACCTCTGCCTTCCCCTCCTTCCTCCAAGGATGATTCTGCGTCCGACAAGCCTCTTCGAGTTTACGCAGATGGCATTTACGACCTCTTTCATTTTGGTCACGCCCGATCTCTCGAGCAGGCGAAGAAGTCGTACGTTTTTTTTTCCCCTTTAATTTTAGCATCTTCGTGGATTTATTATTCTTTCCATGTGGTTCAGGTGTTTTTTCAGCGCTTATGTCGGAGTGACAGAGTTCTTTGGATGATCGGATGGCAATTGGCTGTAATGTTCTCTTGGTTTTCACTGTATTAAAAGAAATTTTCGTTCTTAAACTTGGCCGTAAGAGTTTAGTAAATTGCAGTCAGTTGGAATTCTTTTCTCAGCTATGTAGTTATGCTCCGATTTTTCATACTGCCGCGCAATCGATTTCCCAATTATATCGTCCAGAGAACGTTTGGTGACATATTGGCTGCATTCATGACTTTGGTTCCTAAGCTCGATTCTATCCTTTTTCATCTGCATTCTTCACTAGATTCTCTTTCAATATTTCGGATTAGGCTGTCTAGCGTTTGAACAAATCTGCGGCAGTTGAATAACTGTGAGTGGATTGTTTACAATTGCTTTCGGGACGTTTGCACTGGTTCTCAGCTCGAGATTTATTGCTATTCTGTAGCGTCCATCAGGGAGAGGACAAAGTTACTTGCCGCTTAAATAGTTTTTTGTTGGGACTTGGGAATACATTCAGCTCTCCACAGTGGACTCTAGTGCAGGAGTTCTGTACATGAGGCAGTCTTTTCTTATTACGTTCACACCACTTTTACATGGACCTATTCTTGAACACATTTGATGACCTTGTTCTACACGTTTTAGCACGTTAGCAACTCCACCATTTATGTCTGTGATCATTTTTCTTTTATAGAACGTCGGAACACTTATAATGACTGAGGATTGAAGACTATTAAAATTCATTATGTCCTTAAATTCATTGATATCCTTACGAGCCCGCTATTTTCTGGCGAGGTGCCTTTTGCTTACGTTTATCAATTATTTTGGCGCAGGTTTCCGAATGTCTACCTTCTGGTTGGATGCTGTAGCGATGCTCTAACTCATATGCACAAAGGAAAAACTGTTATGAATGAAGCCGAGCGTTACGAATCACTTCGACATTGCAAGTCAGTTTCAATCATTAGCATCATTTGTTTAATTTGAACTAGCTTGCATGGAGTTAGCATTGCTAATTGGACATAATGTGAATGGTTGTAGCAGATGAGAAAACAGTTACAGTCGATTAGTTCGAGAAATTTTAAGAAGCTCGTTGTATTTATTTATTTTTTGTTTTATTTTATATTTTTTTGGTTTATTTATTTATGATGAAAAAGTAATGAAAATTAGATTGAATCTCTCCGAATGGATTTTCGTAATTTTTGTTACCTTGTTAGCTCTTTCTCTTTTATTAGGATATAAACTAAGTACTACTATTCTAGTCTGATCGAGCTCGAAAAGTTGTACTTTGAGGATATAATGCAGCTCAAGCACTGAACGCAAAAGTGTTTAAAATGTGGAATATTTTTGTTGATACGACAGGTGGGTAGACGAGGTAATTGAAAATGCACCTTGGGTCATCACAGAGGAGTTTCTCGAGAAGCACAAGATCGACTTCGTTGCTCACGATGCTCTCCCGTATGTACCTAAAATGAATCCTGTACATCTTTTCCGGATCTCTGCGCAATGAAATGTTTTGCACACAAGTCTGACTGAGAAGAGCCAACTAACTTGGAAGGTCGTGCTCTGATGACGTAGTATCCTGATCTTCTTCTCTAGAATGACGATGTATAATTGTGGTCTACTGACAGGTATGCGGATGCAACTGGTGCTGGCAAGGATGTATACGAATTCGTAAGCCTGCATTCTGTGACTCTTCAGACGTTTTTTCTGATAACAATAACAATAGTAGTAATTTCTTTTTCTTCTTTTAGTTTTTCTAAGCCCATAACGTATGTTCTCTTCTATCTTTATTACCAGGTTAAAAAGGCTGGAAAGTTTAAAGAGACAAAACGCACTGATGGAGTTTCAACCTCGGATTTGATCATGCGAATCGTTAAAGATTACAATGAATATGTTTTGCGGAATCTTGCTCGTGGATATACCCGTAAAGATCTTGGTGTTAGTTATGTAAAGGTGCGTTCTGACTTGTTCACTGGAAGCTTCCAAGTGTTGTGTATACTCAAATCAATTAGTGAGATGGTTGATAGAGCATGTGGTTAGACTTATATCTGTAATTCTTGCTGTACCTTGCAGGAAAAACAGTTGCAAGTAGGGTTGGGTATTAACAAATTGCGTCAGAAGGTGAAGGAGCAGCAGGAACGTGTGGGTCAAAAGGTGAGTGGTATACCAGTATACTCTCAGTTTCTCCTTTTCGTGTGTTGAGAGATTTAAGGCGTGAGTATTTAAACTATCAAATTATCTATTCAAGGACTACAATTTAAAGTCTTTAAGGCTATTGCTCTACAGTTGTCTCTGCACATACTAATTGTGAAGATCCATTCCTAACACCCCTGGATTCAAATTTGTCTTAGAGCCTGATCTTTCGAGCAATTTATCTTAAGCATTTCTATCTGTAACGGGAGAGAGTGCTGAAACTGCAAAGTTCAATATTTCTGTAGTATTAAGGCAAACATCATCATTTTTTTTGTGCAGTTAAATACGGTGGCCAGTGTAGCAGACTTGAATGAATGGGTAGAAAATGCTGACCGTTGGGTGAGTGGCTTCTTGGAGAAGTTCGAGGAAGGATGCCATGTCATGGTATATACTCTTTCCTGCATTCTCTTGTGCTCTAATGCCGAAAATTCTCCATTCATTAAATTTCTTATTTAGGTCAATCATAATATGTCTCTCCATGTTAGGTTCGAAGTTGATTTATTGCCATATTTTTTCCTTCAAATGTACCGAAGCCTGTACAACTTCCATGATTTGTGTTTGCATATTGTATCATGACCACATGAATTCTCTTTGCCATCAGGAATCGGCAATCAAATCACAAATTCAAAAAGGTCTATTACTGCAGCAGTCACAGATTAAACAGCGAACGGATAAGTTCTTGACCAATGGAACAAAGACTGGCAAGGAGGGGAGCTCACACCCAAAGAGGAGCGTGTCAAAGGGACATACGAAGTCATCTACTTTTTAGGAGATGCCTTTGAGAAAAACTAACTTGTACTCTTTAAACGTTCAGACTCGTGAAGGAATCCTGTTATGCACTACCCTCAACTTTGCAACTATTTCTGGAAATATAGGATTTTCTATGTGTTGACGAGAAGAAGTTCAATACTAGTTAAATTTTGTCCTTAGCTGTTGAGGTTAAGTTCCTCTCTGTCAGAGAGATTATAACTCTTCTGTTTAAGTGTCCAAACGTTTGTTTCACTATCATATGCCCAACGTTCTGAATTTCATTTGTTTTTTGTAAATGTTTCTTCAATATTATGATTTCCCATGCTTATGTGCTCGATCTGGGACTTTTGTGGGTAGCTCTTCTGGCGAGGTTTGATACAATAAAGACTCATGGGCATTCCTGAGTCATGGAAACCGCCAGCTTTTCTTTTTGTTGAAAGCAGAGACGTGGCTGTAAATAGCTGGACACGCATATTGCATACCTACTTTACGTAGGTGCCACACTCACTTAGTGCACAGTTTAGTTCTCTTCATTTGTGGTTAGATGATAATTTACTTTACTATTCCTAGAGTCATTTTTTGATGCTTCTGCTCTGTTAGCGTCTTTAATAACATTTCATCTTGTCCTTTCCGATGTTCCATCTAAATTCTTGCCAACGAAGTCCATGACGCTTCACATACATTACGTTGATCAGAGTGTTTATTTTTTCTTGGGTCTATCAATCGAGTTAGATCTGTGCTCTTCATATCTCTTGACCAAGATGTTGCCTTAAATTCTCTATCGGTTGCACACTAGTAGTCCTGCATGAGCACTGTCTTCCTATTGTATGAGCTACCGTTTCGAATCTGACTTACGAGTGTGGGATACCATGGCTGCAGGATCTAACTTTCTATTGGAGACTGGCAGACTAGCAACAAGGATTCCACAACAATACTAACCATTATCGATAGGCGCAGGGAAACTGACCCCGTACAAGAATGTACGCTCCACCGACAATGTGTGGTTGCTTGTTGGTGCTGATGATGAACAGATGGAATCAAACAGCTTTGACTGAAAGGGCTCAACCTCGTCAGAAACTAATGGGGAAGAGAGGTTCTAACTTTCGAACAAACTCACACCAACAGACTCAATGGGAAACACACTATCTATGCAGAAACTTACTGGTCAACAACCGTTGTGCATATTCTACGTTTGTTTGTAAAGAGTGCTTGCCCGTTCATGGTCTAATTGTCATCAAGTGATAATTTTTCTTTGAATAAAACTGCCTTTAAGTCTTGAAATTTCGCTTAATACATATATATATATATATATATATATATGTGTATATATTATTAATTTTTTAAAATGAAATTTCCTAAAGATTCTGTTAATGTGGTTGAAGAGTTTGCTTATAAGATTTTATTGTTACACTTTAAGAATTTTGAATATTCACTTTGTTAATTTGATGTTTATGATAATTATTTTGGCATGTTATCATGCAATCAATGTCTTATTTAAATATTTTTCATGACAACAAACCATGTTTAATGATGGTATTAACATAATTATATTTTCATGTAATTAATTCATTAGAACTATGTATTTTGAAATTTAAATATGGATAGTATAAAATTCTTAAAATTTTATTCAAAATAAAAGTATTTCTGAAAACTAAGTGCACAAACTTTGAATTCAAAGCTTGTTTAATGACATGTGACAATTAAATTTTTGCTAATCAAATAATAAGTTACTTCTAGATTGCAATTATTAGAGCAAATGTAAAGTTGAATTAAATGATTTTTTTCTTATAAACATATTATTATAGTTGTTTAAAAGATTTCTACATTTTGGAATATAAATAACAAAAAATATATACATATTATGTTAAAAAATACAAATCTTATTGAATTACAAAAGATAATAAAAATGTATATTAAATAATTAAAGTAGAAGATAAAATATTAAACATGCTTCTATAATAATAGAAAAAGAATAGCTGTTGCTAAATTCATAAAAACTAACAAATTTTAAACAATTTTTTTATTATAAAATATGTATGAGTAAAATTAAAGATGACATAAGTATTACTTCTATATACACTAATCAATATGAAAACCATGTAGAAACTTTTTAACTACTTCAATGCTTTGGATATAAGTTTCAAAATTGAGTAATCCTATTTTGATGTTTTTTTAATTCTAAAATATCTTTAGAAGTTTGGATTATTATAATGTCCATTTAATGATATTAGTAATATCAACTTATGATTTTGAAGTTTTTAAGATATTTTTAAAGCATATTATATAAATATATTCTAATTTTATTAAAAATCAATGTAATTAATTTTCTATCAAATTTTTTTTATTGAATTTTTTAAAATCATATTTTAATAAAATTATAGATAGCTTAAATATATTTCTTGATTTAAGCTTTATATGATAGTAGTTAAAAGTTCCTTTGGTTATAACTTAAATCTCACATCTTAGAAAAAAGACAACTTTGTTACTTGACCATTACTAACTATTTTATAGCTACCTTTGAATAAAATATTTAAACATCTAATATGTATAATATCAATTTTTAATAATATCACCAAAGAATAAAAGAATGGTTATAGAGGTAAAAAAATACTATTTACTAATTAAAAATTTTCTATACATATATATATATATATATATCAATTTTATAAACCTTTGTGAGATAATATAAGTTTCTTATCTTATAGTTTAGAAAACAATGGTTCTTAAGAAAAATTTGCTAAATTTTGGCACTTAATTCTATTATATAAAACATTTATAAACAAAATTATAATAATATGAAGAAAAAAAATAAGAATGTAAATAAAAAAGTATAAATGATCTACTTTATATTATATTGTACACTAGAGATGAATAATCTTGACATTAAGTTTTATATAAAATTACATTACTAGATAATTAAATTAAAAATCTAGAGAAGAGAGATGGGCTAAATACAAATTAAACTTGATTAGATAAAAGGTTATAATATTAATAGATATATCTACAAAAGTTAATAGAATATGGAAGTCAAGAAGGTGCAAAAAAAAACAATAGATGTAGAAGTCAAGGGGTTGCAAAAGTCAAGAAAAACTAGTGAGTTTTAAAATAATAGCAGTATAAAGATTTAGATGATTAGTAGATTTTAGACTTTGTATGTAAGGTAGCATGCAATGAAGGCTAGAAAAAAACAAGAGGTTTTGAGTCTTATATGGAAATTGAAAGTATAGTACACAAAAAATAAATTAGCCATGGTTATGTAGGATGTAAATTATTTCACAATAATTATATTCTTAAGTGAGATAAAAAATGCTATATAGATTTATTTTTCATATTTTTCTTAAAAATAAAATAAAATAGTGAGAGCTACAAAATTATCAAGTGGATGTTGTATATGCTTTTAAATATCTACTCTTTTATTATTATATGTAACTATTATCACAATATATATATATTTACCATCATCAATGGTTGATACTTAATTTTAATGGTTTTGATTAAAATTTATTAAAAAAAATTAAACTTAAAATTTATCTTGATATATATTCAAAAACTTTTATAGCTTTCAAAGGCATTTATTAATATCATACTTATATATTTTTAGTTATTTTAAAATCAATTCATAATTGTAAATAATTACTTATACTTTATATTATTTATTATAATCAAACCATACATAAAGAAGTAGTAGTTCTTTTTTAATAAATTTAGGAATTTATATTTTCTATAAAGAATAAAAAACATCTTTCAGTATCTTTGTAATTGTAAGTACAACATATTATTTTGGATTATATTTAGATTAAAACATAATTGAAATTATCAATATGTTTTCAAATTTTAATAGATTTAAATTGGTTGTAACATTACAATAAATTAGTTATATTAATTTACCAATTTTAAATTAAATATTATTTTGAGTTTATTTAAGTTTTTATTTTTTATAAGATTTAAAAAAAAATATTATTATTTCAAAAAATTATGATATTCTATTGATAGTATTTATAATTTGATTTAGAGACTTTGGATTTGACCAGGGATTTTATAAAAAACTTTTAAAAAATAATTACATGTATATACAATTAAATTCATAAGTTTAATAAAATAAAAATAGTTTTAGAAATAAAATTTAGGTAAGATATATCATAATTAAATATAAAGAGGATTTTAACTATAGTAATTTTACATATTTATTTAATCTTCTCATATCAAATGTAATGTTAATTTATAAATGTTTTTGATATGTTTCAATAAAAAAATTAGTACTATCAAAATAAGAAATTTAAAACAGTTTCAAAAGTAAAAATCCTGGAATTGAGATACATATCTATGATGTAAAATAATAAACATTAGGAATAGATTTTTTTTTTTTTTTAATTCTTAGCTTTCTAAAGCTTTGCAACAATACTAATACATCTTTTTGAAATAATTAAAGAAATTAGATTTATGATTTTTTATGTAATTTAAAATTAAAAAAATTATATATTATTTCATGTTTGTATCTATATTTTCAATAATAAATCAAATATTATTACATTCTTTATAAAAAAATTTATAATAACGTTTTAAAAATAAAATAAATAAATTAGCTAATATTATTGCCTTTAAAAATACAAAAAAATAATTTTTATTTTTTTTGAATAAAGATAATTTTTATTTTTTTATTTTTTTATATTTAATTTATTTAGTAGAATTTTAGAATTATTTTTAAAGTTTTATTATAAAAGATAAAAATTTCTTTAATTATTATTTTTATTCTAAAATAAATTTATAAAATAATATATATCTATAAATTTATAAAAAAATTAATAGTTTAGAGTTTAATTTATTAAAGTGAGATTAAATTTTAATTCATATAATGAGAGAAATCTAATTGATCTTATTTAATTAATCAAAGTTAATAGTCTATATATGATTATGTCAAGAACATGAATCTCAAGGAAAGAAAATCCTTAATATACTCCTATATCATTGAAAGGAACTAGAAAGTCATTCAAAGATGAGATAATATTGAACTAGAATGGCTATTGTCAAAAATAAGAAGACTAGAAAGTCTTGGAACAAGACTAAGGACTAGAAAGGCATTGACAAGAGTGAAGAAGGCTTTATTCTTGCCTCCATATATACTGTCAAGGACAAAAACTTGATAAAGACAAATAAACAAGTGAGACTTCTTTCAAAGAAAGATGAAAAAATAGAAATAACTCAATATGTATATTAAGAAAGAAACTCGAATGGCTATTGTCAAAAGACAAGAAAACTAAAGACCCTTGAAACTAAACTAGAAGCATGAAAGGAGTTGACAAGAGTGAAGAGGGCTTCATTCTTGTCTTTATATAT